ATGATTCAATTTATTACTACACATAAAAACTCAAATTCAGATAATATTAGTTAGAGAGTGAAATTTTCCATAGACAATTCCTCCTAACTGTCAGGAGGAAAATGAGCCAACCTGGCAAAGATGTTGACGTATCCCAGTGAAACAAAAAAAAAATTGCATACTTATTTTTGCATTTTTTCACCTTAAGATGCATAGATGGGGGATGCTATGACATATTTAATACTAGTGTTAATGCTTTAATGTTTCATGGAACACCTGTCAGGGAGAGGAGCTGAACAGAAATCCAGTGCCACGTCACATGTTCCTTGGGATCCCCATGACACTGCTGCCATTGCTGAGGAGTAGAAACCAAAGGTAATGGCAAAGGTAAAGGTTCAGATGCTGCTTACAGAGGAGGAAAGTCCACGATTCCCACCCCTCCCAGAGTCTGCACAGCTGCTTTCCTATTCTGCTGGAACGTGGCACTCCAGGAGGAAAGGATGGAAAAGCCAGGCAGCAGATGATCAAAAACTGGTTATTGCAGCACATAAAACCAGGGCACTGTAACTCCTTCAAAAGACAACTCAAACCTTGGTGATTTGTTTCCCTCCAAAGCACTAAGCCTTCTTTGGACTGTATTTATTTTTATCCTAAAGAAAGGAACACCTAATATTGCAGATAAGATCCAAGGACACCAGAGCAGGCAGCCATACACAATTGATTTTCCTGCTCCCTTACATTCAGTGCTGCTCCAATGGCAGGTACTGATACAAGTTTAAAAATGTTCTTGGAACTAATCTTCAGCCCACTTTTAACTTAAATAAATCCAAAAGGTAATATTTCACTATTTGTAAAGGCCCCTGGAAGCAGAGGGTCTGTGCCACCCCTTGAAGGTGACAATGAACTGTAGATGTAGCATGGAATTGAAAGGCAAAGCATCCATCCCCTTTCCTCTTGCATTCCCTGCTCACATTTCTAGCATGCTTCACCCTGAAACAGGCTTCCTTTTCTCCTGCTCGGGGTTTTGCGGGCTCTTTTAACAGAGGCTGTAATATAAAGATGTAGGCCAGAAAGGCAGTTCTGAAAAGTATTTTGTTTGGTACTATTTGTGGAAGAAAAGACAAAGGGAACAAGATACAGAGTTAGCTATGACGAAACAAAAATGTTTCCATAGATGCTGGGTTAAAAATCACAATTTTTTTGGGGGGGGGCTGGGGGTGGAAGAAGGTTTCTGGACTGTTTTTTATGTGGACTTTGGTTTGATTTAGGGATTTTGCTGGGTTTTTTTTATTATTGTGGGGTTTTTCCTAATGGTCATAAAGTCTGTAGCATTTCGAGATAAATGTGCAGCAAAGAGGTTGTGTTTCTTGGGTGTGCCTTTTTACTGACTTTGCTTATGTTCCACCTTTCAAAGAGCAGAATTGGGACTTTTTTGTGGTCGCAGGGCCAAGTTATACAGAGCTACCACAGGATACCCAGATCTTATTGAGAAATGAAGTATTGAATACATCAGCAGCCTATGCCCATGTGGATGTCTTCCATCAAGATAAAGAGAGAGAAAAATGCTACTGGAGAATTATATGCACAAAGCTCTGTGAAGCAAGAATTAAAAGTAATGAGATTAAATAGAAAATAACTACATCAGGAATATGTTAATAAATTAATTAAAGCCTACCAAAGTTGAAGTGTTCCATAATTAAGATTGAAGCCCATGAGAGTGCTCTCTTCTGTCTGGGGATTTTGCCACAGATAATATTACCTGTTTGGAAATGTTTCTAAATCTGTGAGGAAAATGAGGTCAACCGAGATTGTGGCCTGACCATTAAATTGTATTATTTTGGACTTTCCTATTTTCTCAGACCAGCTTTATGGATGATTTTATATGTTTTCTCTACTACAGCCTCATTTCTAGCACATAAGATAAATGTGAATATTGATCTTTTTTAAAAAGAGGAGGTCAAGATTTAGTGCTTATTTCTTCCCCAGGTTTGTTTGCTGAGTTTTCATCTTTGTATAACTTTCAAGTCAAACACACAGAGAAAAAAGCAGAGCAAGGAGCAACACAAGGCCACCATGCTGAAACACCTGAAATCCACCTGACTAATTAAGGAAATCGTTATACACATCTTAACAGGTCTTTTTTATGAGCCTTTTAAACTACCCTATAACATTTTTTCCAGTCCACATATAAAAATAAAATACTGTGCTTTTTGGAGTAGCAGAGATTGTTCACTGGGACAGGAAAAGGCAACATCTTTCCCATAAGGTGCCCATTCTCCATACCATTTATTTGTAGGGTAATGGACAAAATGAAGAAAATACTTCCTTGTTAACTTCTAAACCTGCAACCTTTTTTAAGGCCACATGCAAGTTTGCTTTCCCCAAAACCAACTTAGTTTCCTGTTCTGAAATGAGTCACCACCACTTTAAAGGCTCAGTACTATAAGTATGGAGAAGCCTCTTATCAGTAGTGAATAAGATCAGAACCTCATTTTCCTGATATAGCACTTAAAATTGCACAAAAGGAAAAGAAAATTTATTATTTGCTCTGCAAAAGGCATTTGTGAGTATTGACCTTGCAAACAGAGGGTGAACACATTCCAGTGTTTCTGTGTCCTAACTGTAAATGGTTATACTAGAAATGTACACCTGTAAAGGTGGTAAGATTTTGGGGTTGAGTATAAACCAGACAATATCCTGAACTGCAAGAAACAAATTCACATATGATGGTCCTTCCCATAATCAAGGACAGCCAGCTATAGAGCCTGGGCAAGTCATAATGTCTCCTCACAAAAAGAAGTTCGTCAATATTTCAGCCTTTTCATTCAGCTGTAATCTCAGTACATGGAAAATATAAGACCCTACCTCAGAAATGGGCATGTCCTGAAGGTGCAGTTTGGTGCTGAATCTCAAGTGGTCTCTGCAGCTCCTCTTTCTTTGGGCACACACAATAAAACCCGTGCTTCCTTTACACCTAAGAAAAAAAGCCCATACAAGGGCAAGGCCTTGTATTTTTCATATTGAAGATCTTGGACTTTGTTCTGCCTGGTGCCCAATCTGTGCCCATGCAGGAGAATTTAACAGTCTCACTTCTAGTGTTCACACTTCCCCTTAGGTCAGAAATGAGGCACCTCAGTTGCTTCACTGCTTTACTGATATTCCCCATCTGCAGCCACGCAGGAAAATTCTAGTTCCAAAAAGTCAATACCATGTCATTATGAGCACTGCATTTTATGAAGTGGGAAATAAGAAAGACAAATGTTACTCCTGTTCATGAATTTGCCTCTTATCATTTTCCCTCTCTGCTCTGTGGAGAGTGATTTGATTCACATTGGGGGTTATTTGGGTCAGTTTTACTTGGGGAGAGAAAATAATGGTAACCTCATTTGAGATTTGTGCCAATTTAAGTAAGAAAATGGATTCTGAATATTTTTGCATAGCTGCTGAATTTAACTGAGGGTTCAGTGAAGAATGAGCTTCCAAATGTGAATAAGAGGCTTTATCCATTTTCCCCTGTTTGTTTTTAAACTCCATTTGTTATTTATGATTAGCAATTTTGTGTCATTTATAGGCAGTGTACTGAAACTGAGTTCAATAAACTAAGCTTCTTTGACTTATTAAGCTAAACTTGGTATTTAATTATTATGCATGCAAAGTCAAGTAGAAAAAGTAAAGAGCATTTATAAATAAAATCATTGTGCCTTATTTGCAGCAAACAGGAATATCTGTCTTTATGACTTTTCATATGAAATTTATTACTGCTTATTTTAAATTGGAATAAACACAAAAAAAAAGTAGAACATCTGTATCAAAGTGTAAAGAACCACAACAATCAAAAGCTGTTTAATCTCCTCCATTTAGTTCAAGTGCACAGTCTGTTCTGTGTAACTTTTTATAACATACTGTGAAAGAAAACAGGTCATTTAAACTCAGTAATTAGTATTATAGATAAAATGACACTGCAGCATATTACCATAATATTAATTATGGTAATACTTACCGTTAATTACCATGATACTGATGTAGTATAGGATATAATATATAACAGTCAATGTCTTTAATTTTACATTGAAGTACAACAAAGCATATTGTTGCTACACTTCTGCTTCTCAAATTAAATGAATGTTATTCAAGTGTACATTTGTATCCATGCAGAATGTTTTTAAATAAATAAGAACTCTAATTCAAACTGGTATATTTGACTTTCTAATGGCATAAATTAAAGAACTTCTTAATCTACAAACTTTTTCTAAGACAGTGGAAATAATAACAGAGTTATATTCCATATGAAAAATTTGTGCAATCATTTTTCATTACAACAGCTGTAAATCTTTTAAAAAATAAAGATGAATCTTAAGGAGCTATTTGATGTGTAGTAGGAACTAGACATATATAATCCAATTGGAATTAATTCTGTACTCCTCTGGCTAAAAGACCTGACAATTGTACACATAAAATATTTATAACAAAACAAAGAGACTTGCATGGGAAGACAGTGAAAGTTTTTATCTGCAGCTCCAGGAGGCATAGAGTTCCCTATTAATGAAAAATTGCATCTCAACTTTTTGCAGCACCTTTACTTTTGGGTAACTGTTATAAATATTAAAAGAAGGGGGGGAAAATTAAATTTCAGATTTGTTCAAGTGTACTTTAATAATTTATGTCAGGTGAAATGTTCCCATTTCCTGTGCAGAAATTTTCAAATGAAGCCATTATTCAGACCTGGCAAGAAAAGTACTCTAAAAACCTACTTAATTACAAGTGCAACAGTCCTACTCACCACGTCAGCCCAAGGCTAAAATGTGTACATAGGGTTTTAGCAAAATATTTGAATACACAGTGTAAGGTTCAAAGCAGAAATTGAAGTGTGACCTGAGGTTGGTTATTTCATCTCACAACCAAAAGATGCGTCGCTGTATTTGAGTGAAGGTGTGTAAAGAGCAAAGTCTCCAATCAGTTTGCCAAGATTTGCAGATTATTTGAAAAAATCTTTTTTTTTCTCTCCTCTCCGCTTTCTTTAGGTCAGTGGGACAATGTACAACACAGGGAGACACGTGTCCCTCAGGTTAGACAAGGAGCACCTGGTGAACATCTCGGGGGGCCCAATGACCTACAGTCACCGCCTGGAGGAAATCCGGTTACACTTCGGCAGCGAGGACAGCCAGGGGTCAGAGCACCTCCTCAATGGCCAGGCCTTTTCTGGAGAGGTATGTCACCATGGGGGGGTGGTACCTCTAGGAATTACCCACCTCTTATTTCTGCCTGAAGGCGTTTGCAAGTTAGTCTGTAAAAATTGTTTTCCTGTAGCCATTCTGAAAATCAGGGAATTGGGGTTTTTTTCTTTTTTAACCAAGCGCTGCAAATTTTGCGACTCATATCTACAAATGACATTGCTGTGTTTATTGTATATAGAGACGCCCTCTGTCCTCATCTGTGCTACTTACAAAGTAACCAGGTCTCTTTGGAGGGGGCCTTTATGTCTCTTGTAAAAGCAAGTATGAGATTAACTACAAAGTAATGCTGAAGTGCTTCAAATTCCCACAGAAGTGCTACTTTTGCTTCTCATTGGCGTGTAACACTTCACATTGAGTACCATCCTGCCTTTGATTCATGCAGAAACAAGGTGATACTTGATTCTGGAGATGACTCCACAGAATTCTGCTCAAGAAATAAAGTTAACTGCATACATAGTCCCTGGCAGAATAGTAATGTTTTATGTTAAATACATGTCTATAACATGTATTTCCTGTTCCAAGAAAGACCATAATTTCTTGATCCTGATACCTATTCCAGAATGGCCCATTATTCTTGCTGGATAAATATTTTAGTGACTTAGATGGAGCCCTTTTTCAAGATTTACAATAAAGTTTGCAGACTTTCTGGGACAAACAAAATGGGATCCTTCCATTTTCCTTATATAGGAACATTCTCATATAAAAGAATGCATGAGATTTGCAGCAGCCCATCCTCCTCCAGCTTGGCCATGGCTGTGAACCACCAACTCTACAACTCAAAATAATGCTTCACAATAACTCTGTGTTACTTTAGGGATTATTTTTAAAGCCACTCTGTTACCATTTTTTCAGAATACCAAAAAAAGAACAGCTTTTCCATCATAAAGCACTTATTTTCTCAGAGATGAGTAATCAAATTAACATCTGTACTATGCATCACAGACTGGTGATGAGTCACTTAATGTGTGGCATTTTCTTTGGCACTGAGCAACAGCAGTTATTTAGGAGTAAGAAATTAATTACAGCATTGTTGCATGATGATGTTATAATTGATGGTAATCACTGGCTTTGTTTTATAAGCTACATATGACCTGTGGCAGCTTTTTTGTGTAATTACTAATGTCTTATGCAACTGATTTTGGTTGCCTTTGTTCAATTCTATAAATGAACTCATCATGTATTGCTCCTTTAAGCTCTGAAAGTAAAGGATGCTGTAGTAAACAAGGTCTTTGCTGTTCAGACACATGAGAGCAATATTCAAACAAAAAAAGTTAACTGAACATGAAAGTAAAAATCTGGTTGAAACATACCATGGGCTTGTAATGTATCACCACCATTTCAGATGCTTTTAAAAGAGTTTTTAAGTTTTTAATTCACCAGTCCTAGTCTATAACAGTGTAAAAATGTAGAGCATTGTTTGGCAATGCTTACTGTTATTAGCTAGGCTCTTCTAGTTTTGAAAGTTGGAGTTCTGAAGTACTATTAATATTTGGTGGTTTTTAACAGAGACCTCAACTTTTCTTAGTAAGAGCAGAAAACTGATCTTGGTGGAAACTGATGTCAGTCAGTCAGGCACAGCTGGATCTGCAGCGTGTGCAGGATTCATCTTGTTGTCTGAATCCTCCTGCAGTGAATAGAAAGAGCTCAGCACCTTCAAAGGATTAATCAGTCCTGACAGCCAGAGCTGGGTCTCTTAGGACAAGGCAAATCACTCTGTGGAGATGTATTTCCCTTGACAACAGAGCACAGACAAACAGCAGGCAGAAGAGTTGAGATTCAAGGACTCCTTTTCAGATACTGAGATGAATTCTGTCCTTTGAAGGTGTGTTTTTCAAGGATTTGGGCAAGTGAACTCCAGCAAGGTCAAGCATTAATTACTAATTTGAGCCTAAACCTGCACAGTTAAGTCTTACTTCTAGAACACACTATTCCAAACGACAAGCCCAGATGCAAATCAGTGGTGCTGAATGGCTGCAGATTTCCAGGGAAGGGCAGCAGCTGATGGAGTCCTTCGAGTGTCCATCCACCCATGCAAGTGCTGCCTGTATAAATGAGGGCTCTTCCACAAGCTCTCAGCACTGAGGGATGTAACATCTTCATCTCTCAGCAGTGAGAGGGGGAATGCTGTCTGTAAACAAGCCAGCTGACTTCCCGGGAGAGTGTCTTTGTGATGCCACGGGTACTTTCAAGCCTTGATGCTAATTACTATTCACTCCTGCCTTAGATAATGCTGTCAGTGGAGATGGGATAAAGAAAAATAACTGCCTAGGTTCATTAGTCTAATTTAGCTGGTGCAGGTAAGAATAGCAATGAATATTTGCTGGCTTAGGCTTTAGGAACCAGGGAAAAATCATTGCAGGACTGCACTGTATGACTGCTAATTGCAGACTGACCTGCCAGGGCTGGCCCTGATACTGCTGGTCTCAGCTGTGTTGGACAAACCCTCTGTGGGCTTTCCAGAAACCTCTGTTTAACCGGGGAAACAATTCCCAAGTTATCCAAGAAGGATGATTGCGCTGGTTTTGCATTAATTGAGTTTTGGTGAGGAGGGAATGAGCCCAGGCATGGCAGTGATGTTCTAAGAGAAGCTGTTAAGAGCTTCCTCCGTGCCTGGCAAAAACCAATTGCTGGGCTGGCTCTCAGAACAGGCATGCTGATAAGCCAAATAAAGAGTAAAACACGTCCCTGTGAGATGCACATTTTAAAATTAACAAAGCCCAGGATTTATTTTATTTTTTTTTCCCCTTCTGCCCTGAGTACAAGTAACAGGCCAGCCTGCCCCCTCAGCGCGGCCGGGCCGGGCCAGGCGGGCTCTTCCTTGGGGCCGGGCCCTTCCTTGCCCATGGAGGCCCAGCAGGGACAGGGCCTGCTCCGAGGTAGCGCTGGCAGAGCCAGGTCCCGTTTCCCCCAGCACGGCCAGGCGGGCCCGCAGTTTGGCTGAAATGCTGCTGAGTTTCGCCAGAAACCGCTGGGGAGAGGAAGCCACTGGCCCACGGGTGCGACCTCTGAGTTCTAGCCTGGCTGCCGAGATCCCAGCCGGCCATCCCCTCCCAGAGCAGCCGCCGGTGTTCCGGCCCGCGCCATCCTGGCCCAGCCCTGCCAGCGAAGCCTGAAATACTCCACCTAAAACACTCCACCTCAACTGCTCCAGCCGCTGCCCGGGCACGATATTAACCTTTTTAGTGCACAGATGAAACCTACAAACATCTAGTCTTTTTCTCGAGTGAAAGAAATGGAAAGAGTGAAGATACAGAGAGAACAACATGAGACTTGAAAGTCAGTAAAGAAGTAGTCAAGTCGCAGATGGGAGGGATTGAGGAGATGCCTTAGTCCTGGGCTGAAATCCTTTTGTAAGGCTATGGAGAAGGTATAATCGGTATATCAGACTCCTTTTCCTTGTAACTCAGTGAAAAGCATGGGGGGATGAAGCATTCAAATTGTAGATATGAGCAAAGGCATCTATGCTAAAGCAAGCAGATGTTGAAGTAGCTGTGATCCCATGAGAAGTTTGAAGACAGAGAGAGAGAAATAAGAGTGAAGATCCTTTGCCCCCATAGAAAGAAGATGACCTCTGCTCCCAGAGATGATCTCAGAGTCACATAAAGAAAACCTTTGCTTTTGAACAGCTCATCCTTAAAATAGTACCCCCTAAGTTGACACGGCCCATAAACACAGCTGTGGGAAGGCTGCAAAAGATGGGAGGGACTTCATGATTGCAGATTTCTGGGTGGCTGCTATTCGTGGAAATTAAAAGCCATGATGTAACAGTTTTCTTGTGAAGAAGTCTCCGTAGCATAGTCTCCATAGCAAGAGAGACTGCTATCCCTAAGTGAACTGAAGAAAGACTATTCTAGAAGTGATAAACTGACTGAATTGTTTCTGTACGTTGTCAGTGGGAAGGAGGGGAGAGCGGGGGCGGGACGAGAAGAAGTGTTCTGAAGGGTTTAGTCTGATTCTTATTATTCTTTTAGTTCTGTTAATAAAGTTTTTCTTTATACCCTTTAAAGTTTAAGCTTGCTTTGCTCTTATAATCCTGACTTGTAGCAGAAAATAAGTAAGTATATTCTAGTGGGTGCATAGCATTCGGCCAGCACTAGAGCCACCACATTAATCTATTCCAGTAGATCACAATCAGAATTATTCCTGCTGCTTCTTTCCTCCATTCTCATCCATGTCTCTCCCCTCATTTCCAGTGAGGTCTCCAAGTCATATTAGAATCAAGACACTGCAGAGAGACAGGGGACACTGGGGAGAGGGCAGGGGACAGGACAGCACCTCTCCCTCCTAGCACTGCAAGACTTAGATTGGCTCAGGCCTAAATTAAATCCAAGTCCAGACAAAGCAGAAGCCTTTAAACAGCCCCAGTCCACCTTGAACCACCTTGTCATGTTCTTTACACATCTGGAAATCCTACCTGATGTCCACACTAAGAAAATAGTTTATTTTAGGGACCTTTATTGCCTAGTTCTGCAAGTGGATATGCACTCAGAGCAAGTTGAAGAGCACTGAAGTAGTAATGTAGGATGAAAAACAGCCTAGAAATAGCAGATTGCTTCAGAATGTGCTATGGACTGAATGATACCGAGAGGCTTGTAATATCCAGGCTTTAGCTTATAACTAGGTGTTAAAGGTGGTCAAAAGAGATCTCTACAATAATCTGGTTATTTTTTAGCCCCCAATTATCACTTTAGTAGACAGAATAATTGAAGTAATGTTTAAATAGTTCAAGTTTAAGGGCTTTAAAACTGTTTATCAGATTTATCAATATGTTTGGCACTGGTAACATGGAAAGGCAGGCAGGCTTTGGAATGCTTAAATAAATAAATGGAATATTTACTTGTCCCTATGATATGGACTCAAGTGAGTTTAATTCCCTGTTCTTTGCAGGAACATCCTACTGTATTACAACGATTAAAAGAAAATCTTGGCTTAGGCAAAGTCCCTAACTAAGACACCAGTCATTTGTGTCTGCT